AAGTACGAACCATGGCTATGCTATCGCTCCTAGCTTAGACCCCCAAAATGGTGAATCGGGCCAAAATCCTTTCCACGCCCACCCCCGTGACATCACGCTCCGAAGCCCTATATAAATACAGGCCATTTGCATTTAAAACACGGGAGGGCATGGGGCTGCTGCCAGAGAGCAGCAGGTGCCAGCACGGCCAGAGGTGAGGCTGAATACACAGACCGTCCTCTGGATGCCATGTAGCATGTAGCAGGCCCTACATGTATGTGTTATGAGAGTGTGAGTGATGTGGATGTCTGTGGATTCTGTAAGGATGAAACCTGCCTGCCAGTTTTCTAAGCTTTACCCTGAGATTCTGGCGTTTCTAGCAAAATACATTTATATTCAAAGAGCTATTTTTAAACCCAGCCCTGTTTATTGTGGCTTCTAAATGCATTTTTTTGAGTAATTGACTTTGTTCTGACTTTTTCATTGCAGTTATTTTATCCATCTAATGCAGGAATTGCAGCTTGTTTTAATCGCATGTTTTTATCATTGCATAAACCACAAGGATGTGTTTGTTAGCAGTTGGGAACATGTTTTACTGTTTACTCATATTTAATACAAACGAAAGCCTCGAAGGGGATTTGTGTCTCTGGTAGAAACCAGAAAGCAGCCACTCGTCAAACTAAAATAACAACAATAATAAATACATCTTAAGAACACATTTATACTGTTTACTATAAAATGTTATACATAAGAAACTATAAACAGGAACCTTTCAGACTAGAGCTAATATTGAACTTAAATGTGCTCTAAACTGCTCCAGTGCGTTCTGAATGTGTTGGGTTGCATCCAGCCAAACGTCTGACAGTCACTCGCATAACTATTTATTTTTTGTACGTTGTCTTCACTTCACCCATTCACACCAGCACGTCCTTCTTGTTTTAGTGCTTTCTGTCTAACATTCACACACATTCATACTCGGCTGCATCAGAGACCAGCGTGGCCTCAGCATGTTGCTCAGGGATACCAGCCACCCTGATTGGGTTATTCAAGTGATGATAGGACCTTACTGTACATGTTAATGTTGGTGTCATTCTATAACATGAGACAGCGAGAAATGTTTCAACAGCACCTAAAACCTGACACAGGCTAAACAGAAAAAATTGAAATGATCTGATGAAGACAGTCAGTGAGCTGATGCCTACACTAGGTGGCAGCGTGGGCCTTTTGTTCAGCCAATAATATCGTTTCTATTATGGTGACTGTGTCTGATGTGTTGTTGGGTCCCAGGTGGTGGATCGATGTTCCATCCATCCATCCATTCGCGTCCGCTTATCCTTTTCAGGGTCGCGGGGGGCGCTGGAGCCTATCCCAGCTGTCATAGGGCGAGAGGCGGGGTACACCCTGGACAGGTCGCCAGTCTGTCGCAGGGCCAACACACAGGGACAGACAACCATTTGCACTCTCATTCACTCGCACATTCACACCTATGGGCAATTTGGATTATCCAATTAACCTATCCCCACTAAGTGCATGTCTTTGGACGGTGGGATCGATGTTGCTTTTCCTAATTTGTTTACATCAAGATGTTTTTATTTCTGTCAGCACGGTTGGAATCTCAGATTTCTTTAAGGAAGTCTGAGTCTATTCAAGAGGAGGATGAGGAGGCAGAAGGTATTCACTCAAAGGAGGAAGACCTCGTCCTGAGAGACAACAAAGACACAGAGGGTGAGTCCTTGAACACACAGACAAACCAGCGAGAGCGATATGTGAAGGTATTTAAAAAGCAAACAACAGAGGAGCATGCAGAAAACTCTGCTTAGAAACTTTTTATAAAAGAAAGAAAATCAATAATAGGCTCAAATGGAAAGAAGCCCGAGAAGAAAAATATGCGATGAAGAACAGAAACAGATGTTCAGTGAAATTCGTGAGACTACCAGTTTATTTGGGAGGCTGCAGAAATGTACTGGCAGCTAAGAAGGTGTTACACAAATTCATGCTTGGAGAAACTGTGCTAGCACTCCAGTTCTCCCAGATCCAGATCAAAAAGCATTTTTCATCTTTTATTATGTAACCAGGATGGCAATGCTGCAAAACATTTTTTTGAGCATGTAGCACTGAGTAGCTCCACCGTTATTGTCCACCCACATAAAGCACTATACATGAAGGAGTCTTGTGGAGAAGTGCTGTGTTTAAATGTGTGTGCAGGCTCGGCGACGGTGCCAGCTGTGTACATGAGCGCGGTGGGTTTAGACACTCTGGAGGAGGAAGAGGAGAAGGCCAGGTTCTTTGCCCAGCTGGAGGCAGGAGCTTCATCTACTATAGACTACTCCAAGCTGAACAGGGAGCTGGACTCAACACGTTCTACCCCTGCAAACAACTACAGGCATGTCAGCAGCTCTGCTGTGTTACACCCCCTCCGCACTAGTAAATGATCCTTTATTTCACCTCTCTTCATTTTGCCACATTTAGCTCGTGTGTTTCCACTGTGCACTGTGTTCATTCACCCGTCACTAAAACCTGTTCGAACACAGAGAAAGTTCCTGTGCTGCATTTCCTTCTTGCAGTGAGATTCAAACATGAACAAAAGCTTAACAGAAGACCATCAGAACTTTTCACATCTAGATCAGTTTGTGTACATGAGTGCAGAGTGGCAGCAGCAGCAGCAGCAGCCATCAACACAACAGGTTTTCATTGCATTTAGAAAAAAGGAAATCGTTTCTCAAACTAAATATTCAAGCATTTGAAAATCAGTTAAAGTCAGTTATGTGCAGTGCTGGTCAAGTTACTTGAAAAAAGTAATCAGTAACTAATTACTGATTACTTCCCGAAAAAAGTAATCACGCTACTTTACTGATTACTTTTTCAAAAGTAATTAGTTACTTAGTTACTTTTTAAAACATGATTTATCCCCTAAAAAAAACAATAGATCTTTCAGCCCAGTTCTACTTTTTCTGCATAATCCATCATACAAAATGTAATCAAATGGAAAAGTCTCTTTTTAAAACTTGTTTTATTAGTTTTAATCTTTTAACTTTATGCATCAAGCAAATATTTAATTATCTGCAACATTCTCTGACTGGAAGAAATTAGTTTAACATTTAAACCTATTTTCTGCACATTCCAGCACATAAAATAAAATAGTTTTTGTGTTTACACTCAGTCTTTCAAATAGATGCAAGTAAAACACAGCAGAAAATAAATAAAGTCAAAGACTCAGCGGTCCTGTTGCTCTACTTTCACCTGTAAAGCAGGAGTGGGGCAGGCGAAGGTTTACCCTGGTGCAGGTGTGTCACAGCGGTCAGTGGAAGAATCCGCGAGTTTCTCTGTGAGTTTCACACTGCAGCAGCAGCAGCGTATTTGGTGCTTGATCAGACGTTTAGGGTTTTTTTTTCGCTAACAGTAATCTAATTACCTTTTTTGCAATAGTAACCCCTTACTTTACTCATTACTCGAAAAAAGTAATCGGATTACACTGCCCATCTCTGGTTATGTGAAAATGATGTTTTGTGGACAGCTGCAGAGAGTCTGTCTTTGAGTCACTTTGGGGATCCACCGTCCAAAAGTACAAACCTTTATAAAGTTGTTAGCATTACGTATTAGTCTGATAAAGCTCAGCAAATATTATCACTTAATACAGTTTTAACTGTTTCAATTAGTAAAGGAATTACAAGTAAATCAATTAAATACCCGTATCTGTTGCTGATGACAGCTATACTGCATAACTACTTACTGAATTTCATGGTAGATACTTTTCTCCCCTCTGCGGTCATTTCAGTTAAATTAGGCTTTTTTCCCTCCTGCCCCGTTCAGCAGCAGTCTGAAGGTCCAGAAAGATGCCCGACGGGTTTATTTTTCCGAGTGGATCATTACGGCTTTGCCATACTGGTCCACTTGATTGATCTTTATTTTATTTTTTTAACTTTTAAGTTATTACAACGATCAATATGTTTAAAGGCAGCAGCCAAGGTGTCCGTGCACACCTGTGTGCGTGAGCACGCTTGTATTCAAAGGGTTTCTCTGTGTAACGATCTATTAGTGGACACAAACGGAGGTGAGCTTGAATACACACACCGTCCTCTGGACGCCATGTAGCGTGCCCACCCCCAAGGCCCTTAAATGAGGCTTCTGAGTTATAAGACGCATGAGTTAATTTTGGACAGTAGTAAAGCACAGCTGTGCTTTCAGTGTCTCTACAACAGCTGCTGCTGTGGAGCTCAGTGTTGTAATTTCAATGTAATAAGAAGGATGTCCTCCCTGCAGGAATGTAGAAGAAGCAGAAGAACCAGTGGAGCGAGGGGGCGGTGATGATCACAGCAAGGCCAGAGGGACGATCAGTCCAGGTAAGGATAATGAAATCTAGGCCAACTCTGCTGTGTCTCTGTCTTTGTCTTAATCATGTCTGTCCTCTCAGCCTTCACAGGCTCCCCACACTACAGCGAGGATTTTGAAGATGACGAGGACGTGAAGGTTCCACTGGAGGAGGTTTGTGCTCAAATCTGTACCTGTTAAAGTCAAAAATATTAGAAACTTCATCAGAAAGTTCATTTTCCAATGAAAAGCACACAGAATACAGTTGAATAGTATATACAGTATAACACTGTAAATCAGTGTCGCTGAACACACTTTGTTGATGTATCTGCAAAGTTACAAACGCTGTAAAAAGAAAAAATTAGCTAAACAAACTGGATCTGAGTTCAACTGGACGTTTGTCCAGGGGAGGGACCGTATGATTGTTTAACAGCGACCTCAGGATAACCAGTGGATATAAAAACAGCTGTGTATAATTCATGTCAGTAATATATCACTTACTGTTCCAAATGAACGGATATCATGTGACTGTGGCACTGTCACACTCTTGTCCTTTTTCAGACGTCAACGACGGCTTCAGTTCTTGCCAGAGGTAAGACACAGATGACACTGTGCTGAGGCCAGCACACTGAGATGTGTTACTGTCGTCACCGGCAGTGTTCCTAAAGCGATGACCTTTAGTTCCCATTAAGCCTGTGAGGTCTAAATGGTTCTTCTTCTTCCAAGTCTCGTCATAATGATTCAATCTGAAGTACAGATAGTTTAAAAAATACTCCAGTAAGGGCTGATGTACTGAATCAACTTCTTTACTCAAGTAAAGTAAAAAACTACAGGCTCTGAAATGTACTCAGAGTAAGACAGTACAAAGTAACTGACTCTTGTGCTCTATTAATATGATAATAAAATAAAGTACATGAGAATACAAATGTTATTTGAATCTAAATTCTAGTTGTAATGAATGTACTCAGCTTGACTCTGTTATGTAGGACACGTGCAGAGAATTAGAGAACTACAGTGCAGGTAGACCTAAATAGAAAAACGAGTACAGTCGGGGCTTAAAGTTCGTGTAACACAGGACCCACACACACCTTTGTGATGATGAGTGCATCTAACATTTCCTCAGAGGTCAGTGTGCCGTATGACTGCATTAGCAATAAATGTAATAACGCTCTATATGAACAGTTACTCACTATATAGAACAACGTTATAGGATTATATTTGTTCACAGATGTTGGCAGCTGTCAGCAAATAGTTATCAGCTATTTAGAAACAAAAGACTTTTAATCCATAACAGCAAATGAACTGTACAACAGAAAATACAAATGCTATCTATGGCCTCCTCACAAGACAAATAAACTGGGCCAATATGGCATGTTTGTTAATACAGAGACACACATGTTAATGTGACCTCTGGTCTCCCACTCAGAGACACGGGTCTCCCAGTGTCCAGCATTCAGACCTGAGGACTCATGTGAGAGAAAACCTGCTCACACAGACATGTGGAGCCAAATATGGTAAATGACCTGCATTTGTATAGCGCTTTACTCAGCCCCTAAGGGCCCCAAAGCGCTTTACACTACATTCAGTCATCCACACATTCACACACTGGTGATGGCAAGCTACTGTCAATAAGGCCTCTGCAATGTTCTGAAGACAGTTAAACCTGTCAGGTAGTGACGTCCAGCAGGTGAACATGCAGCTCCATGAACACGCACAGCTGTGGATTCCAGCTGCTTCAATGTTGCATTAACTGGCATTAACTCAGCCAGTTAATGCGAGACAAATCCAGCTGCTCATTAAAGATTTCTGGTTTGTTCAGAAAATAAAACATTGGTCCAAACACCTGAAAGTCCCAAAAACACGTTGTGTCTCGAGTCTACGGATGTATCTGTGTGTTTCCATGGTGCTGATGCTGAGCGGACAGCTGCTGAAGCTTTTGAAGTGTCGGAATGTGAAAGGCTAACAACGCCCCTCTCACCGGTAGGCTAACTTATTTTTAGCCAATTACAAGTTGAATCTGGTAGTTGGGGTTGTTAGCTAAGATACCGTCATTAAGAAGCGGCACAACTAATGTTTCTATGCGAGCTAATTTGCGATGAGCACCGCTGGCCCGGCCATTTATTTTTTGATGCTCCTTCTCAGATTAACTCACTGCGTGTCGTGCCCAGGGCTGGACTGGGACAAAAAAACATCCCGGGCATTTTGACTAGAGACCGGCCCCCCAGGTATTAAAGCCATAAACCCTTTGAATGAAACGCTGTTGTGACAGTGATGTACAGTCTTGTTGGTATATGTATGATTTCTATACATTTTACATC